GTCATTTAGGCCATTTATTGTGAGCTTCTAAATCAGGACTGATGCCTGAAGGGAAGTGTCACTGCTTTGGATTGGAGTGTTCTAGAATCGGAGTTAAGCCTATAAGACTATAACTGGTAGTGAAATTGTAGAAGAAATCGACATAACTGTTGACTTTGGAGCTTAGAGAACTTCATCACAAGGGAGCTTGCTAATTATGCTATGAGCTTGGGATTTAGAAGTGTGAGACTTACTAAACAATAATCTGTTTGACGGTTGCTAGACCTAAGTTGAAGATGCATGAAATTATTAAAGGTTTTGCATAGAGGATGCGAGGGTATGAGTATGTGTTTGAGTATGACCTTTCAACTCTCCCCGAGAGTTCTAGCTTGGTGGACTTTCGATCCTTCTTGGGTCAATTTTATGCGCCTATATAATCCGGTCATTTTTTTTTAATTTAATTGATGTTAATTAATTTGAATATTGTGGGGAGTGAAAAGGTTTTTACTGGTTATTATTCTGATGTACAAGGAAAGGGCTTGTTCGTTTACGGGAAGCAGAGGATTGTATCTATCTGGACAGTGTAGTTCTAAGTAGGGACAATCTGTAGTTCCATCTGAAATTGATAATTTCGAGATCCTGGTAAATACTGCATGCAGCCATACACATATATTTGAGACATTAGTCATGCATGTCACAGGGGAAAGGCTATCAAAGATGAGAAATTACCAATCCTGACTCAGTTGTAACTGTTGGTGAATCATCTAAGAATGTAGAGAAATTCAATAACTTTATGCTCCATGGGTTGAAGAAACTAGGTTGGGGATGTTGAGATCGATTTTGTTGGTCAGAATAACATATCATTGCATTCAAATCAAGTTTGATAGGACTATAGAAGTGCATCCAGTCCTATCTCAAAAGCATGTTCGTCCCACCAGAAACACATATCTGAACATCCCCAACCCAGATTTTTTTCATCCATGGCCCAAATAAAGCTGTTGAATTTCTCTAAATTTATAGATGATTCACCAGCACTTACAGGTGTCTCAGGAATGAGATAAGTTGTTATTGATCTTGTAACTTTTGCTTGATGTAGATACTTTTTTTTTTTTTTGACTAGCAAATTCCGCCAATGTAATGAAGCTCCCAAAAGTATAAGGGTAGGAATTTTGTTTTGAAATTGGACATGATGAAGGCGTTTGATAGAGTAAAATGGAGCTTTGGAGAAGATTTTGCTCAAGTTTGGGTTCCCGAGAGCTTTTGTTCTCTTGATCATGAACAACTTGCACTATAGCTGGTTTTCTATCATGATTAATGACGGTTCAGTGGGCTATTTTCAGTCATCTCGTGGAATCCCACATATTGAAAGTGGGTATGTCCCCCAGCACCAAGAGAGGTTGAGGAACCCAAACATATAGCTCGGCGTGTGATTATTGCAGCCGCCTGCACTGAGCAGGCTGGGTTGTAACCGAGCACCGGATGTAGAAAAGAAGTATCAGCTCCTCTTAAGCCACAACCAGAGGTGCCGTAATCATCTACTGTTTCAATAACCTCTGCTTCAGCTCTAACTTTGTAGACTTCAAAGCTCATGAGCTGCGACCATACACACACAAAGAACGTGACCCTTCTGCCAACGAAATTATCACGCTGGTGTAGATATACAAGGATGATTAAGTTGTTATTGATTTGTAACTTTTGCTTCAATTTCGATATGGTTGTATGCCGAAATTATTTTCTAATTTATATTTTGGAATTAATCAGATAGGCATAGTCTAATGGTATAGTATGCCATTAGTGGTTTTTGTATTTTCGAAAGTACTATGATATTTTGTTACAAAGTTAAGATTAATTTATGAAGATGATTCATTGACCATCAAATTTTGAGTTAATTCACTAATCTATATATGCCATATTTCTGTAATAGTCATGTATTACATTATCCACATTTTGAACATTGTTAAAAAACAATCGTTTTTTTTGGCCAATATCAATTTTTTTATGGGATACTAAATTACAATGCGAAACATAAATGACTAATTACAACAAATGGACGATGTTATTAATAACAAATGTATGATGTTATTTGCAACAAATAGGACGTTAACCATTTCATTGACTAATCCGAAAATTGTAATACAATAATGTTGACGAGTCTAGCGGTTACCAAACTAAACCGTAAATTCTTTCGAATCTACTTCAAAACACATTACTTCAACCCTTGGAATTATAAACTACATTACACAACAACATTAGGCTAAAATAAACTAATACAACCAACACTAAATAGTCTACTATACACTGGTGGATTTTTCCCCAATCACTATTCACCTTCCACATTTTCCTTAAACCAAAAGAACAAAAACGCCTAGGTTGCTACAAGAATAGAAGTTAAAATTTTAACTTTTTGATTTGCAACAACCATTTTGTGTTCTATCATCAGTACCATTTGCTCTTTCTCCATCAATATTAAATCCTTCACAGCCAACAAATCATTTTTTTTGCCAAAAACTCATTCTTCTCGAACACCTCTCTCCTCCTGTTTATCAATGTTTGAAAAAATCCGGACAGTAGATGTATACAACAAGAACATCTCTCTAAATGAAACCAATCAAAGAAACCAGAAGAAGCCCCGAAATGGTACCTTGAACAACCAAAGAATTTTCGACCTAGATTGTTTAATGTCTTCGAGGCCGTGAGCTCCACCGGCAATCCGCAATAATAAACGGAATGTTTTGGATATGGTGGGGGGAGGGGGTAAGGGTGATAATTCGAGTGGGTTGGGAAATTTTTGGGTTATTCGGTTCAGGTAGATCGGTTTTGGACCCCTAAGAAAATCACCTGCAAACCGCACCACATTTGTACTAAATCGCACTAAACTGACTCGAACAAGATTTCGAGTTTTTCAGTTCATGACTCATTAAACGAATTGTTTTTTAGCCATGTTTTAACTTTTACATTTGGTTTGATGTTTCTCTATTCCTGTCGAATCAAATACAATACTCACTAATATCAAATTCATTATATAATTTAAACTGGTTGATTTTTAATCTTTCAGATCCAGCTATCCAAGAGAGCAATAGTCCAATTTTGTAATGTATTTTTTAAAAAAAAAATAAAAGGAAAGGAAAAAAGCGGTAGGAGCCGTCGAGTCGAGAGAAAATAAATTCCGTCAAATCTGGCTGAGAAAATCAAAACATATTCACCTTTCAAAATTTTGAAAAGAAAATCAACTTAAAATACGTCATACACCCCAAATTTTCTTATCTGAAATCACAATCTCATCAAATAAGAAAAAATAAAACTATCAATGTACTCAGAAATGGAGAAAGGAAGAGAGCTGGATGCGGCATGGTTCATTTAGAGTTTGAGAAAGAACGAGAAATTGCAATTTGTTATGGGGTGGAAAAAAGAAGATCAAAACTTTAAGTTTACGGAGGAGTGATGGTGACTAAAGATAAGATGGTGGATTATGGAGAAGTTCAAAGAGTAGTGGACACATTGCCATGTGGGTAATTTGTGATAACACCTACCTAATAATATACATATATATATATGTAGTATATTTCTAATACAACTTAATATTTTATTCAGGTTTCGAACATGTCCCAAAATATAATTTTATACCCACACCAGCGGGGGATGAAGATCTCCTCATTTTTCCCCCCAATTTGGATGAATTGGTGTTTGATTTTGGATGCAATTGAGGGATTGTTGTCGGGATAGAAGAGAATATCGAATTTCAGCCCGAAATCCCCCCCTCCCTCTTTTTCTTGCGAATTTGGCGAACCCTAATCCCCAAATTCCACTCTCAGTATCCCCGATTTTCTTTGTCCCCGATTTACCCGAAAATTTTTTCTGAAGTAATTTTTTTTTTAGGGTTTAGACTTAATTAAGCTCATATGGTAATGGGATTGGGTTGGCTGTGGTTTGTTTTAATTTTTTTAGATTTAGTTTTATTGGGTTGGGCTTACATATTAAAATTATTTTGTTGGGCTATAAAAAATTTGGCCCGTGTATTATACTTATTACTTTTTTTTAGAAAATATAACATGCCGCGAATTGGTTGACGGTCGTCTCTGGCATCAGAACAATAAGTTCCGATAACCGATCGGCGAAATTCCTGGTGAGGTTGCCGGCATTTGACCGAAGTTAACCCACGGAGGTTTGATGGTGGTTCACGGTGGCGCCGCCCAATGAAGCCTTCCGTTCATGCATACCTCGGTATCGGCTCTAGGCAGCAAATTCAATTTTTTTTTTTTGAAATTTGAATTTGTCGTTTTTATTTTTCGACGATAATCACGTGTGAGTCACGTGCGTGTGAAGTGTTCCTTTTTTTTTTTTATTTACCGATCATATTCTTGGTTAACTCAACTGCTTCGCCGTTGACCGCCACCCTTTTCCTTGGAAAACCAACAGAAAACAGGGAAAAAATAAAACCCAACTATTTTGCACTAAAGTGAAATATTTTTTCTTTTTAGTTCTGAATGAATATAGTTGGCATTTTTTTTTAGTACTTTTGGAGCAATTAATTCAAAAAAATTTGTGTGAAAATGAATTTTTTCGGAAAAAAAGTATATTAATTATTTTATTCACATAAATTATTTTTGGAAAAGGTCTAATCCAAATGTGTTTTAAAATTTTTAACTACTAAAAGGTTTTTGTAATTTTCTTGTCCAAATGCATTGTTTTCAAAAGTACTTTCTAAATTTTTCTCCAAAAAGAGTTTTATTAAAGTGTTTAACCAAAACTTGTCCGAATGGAACCTTAAATTGTATAAAAAATAATATAATTCATATAAATTGGACTAAAAGATTTTTCTTTACGGAAGGAATATTACAAAAAGCTTTTGGGCCAGAATTGGAGTCCATAAAATGCTCAGTTCGGGCCTTTGTATTTTATTCTTTATCGATTGAGCGTTACGCGCCAAAACTAGCCTATAAGTAATTCCTAGTCCAAACCGGTTCACATTCTCGATTCATTATAATTTGAGTGAACAAAATCATAAAGGAAGAGAGCCAAAAATGGGAGTTCTCTGTTTCGTACTGGACTTGCGAAGCCTTGCCCCGTCGTTGCTTCGAGAATTGAAGCAGGTTAGTACCTCATTACAGTTCATTTGTTCGCAGATTGTACTTTCATCGGATTAATTTCGCTTCATTTTGCTCTGATCGCAAGATTGTGAACGTTTCAGTTCATCGAGTTTCAAAAAATTGATTTCGATAAAGTTTGGAATTCAATTTTTTTTTTCGATTTTCTTTCGCAGTCATTGTTGCAGCTTGCGAACTACTATGCAATCTACAATCCTCTTAGTAATCATAGTTCCAGAACTCAATCCGAAGCGTTGCCTGATCGAATTGGCCTGTGCTATATCCTTACGAACCGAATGACGTGTTCTACGGAGGTAAATTTGAGTAACTCTGTTGAAGAATCCTTACTTTTGGTAAATGTGCACATTTGTTGGTATTTCTGTGTTATCTTAATTATGCCGGTTTGTATCTGAAATTTTAGCTTGAATTTAAGATCCTTTTAGTCGAAGGACTAGTAAATTCATTACATCTGTGATAATTTTGAGTTAGGGTTTCACTTTGATACTGGAGACTGTCTCCTGAGATGTTGATTCATGCGGTGTTTTGAGAATAAATTTACCAGAAATGTTTATGTTCACAGTTTTTTCATATGAGAGAGGGAAGAATATGGAGATAAATGTGTTCATTTTAGAAGCTAGTGATTTGTGTGATTAATCAGCTGAAGGTTGCCTACACTCCAAGAGGAAACTTTAATCTCCGTGATTTTCACCACGCGGTGAATCATTTGCCGGCTGATGCGTTCATTCCTGAGTTCAATAGTTCTGGAGCAATCTCGTTCGCTGGTAATACTTGTGAAAAGAATAAATAAGAGTAATATCATTTGTTCAGAAATCATCCTCTATATGTATCAAAATCATTATTTGCATATGTGCTTATGTTTATGAATCTATTTTATTTCTGTCACAGATTTCAAAATTTCAAGTGTTCTTAGTGATGAAGTTCTATACTCATGGGGGAAATGTGATAATGGTGTTACAAGGAAATTATTTCTAATAAGTTCCTGTGTGGTTCGGATTCTGGACTGGGATATGAAAAAGATTTTAAAGGTGAGCTAGTAGTTGAATGTCATGGATTTGTATTGTATAGGGCTTGCTGCTCTACATCTAAATATGCTGTTCTTTTCTTTTCCAGGATGCCGCAGATAAATGTGTTTCTGTGGAGTTTACTTACATTGAATGCAATATGAACCATTCAGGAGATACCACTGAGAATATCAACAACTTTGTAAAGCAAATTGGTGACCTAGAAAATTGCTCATTCCGCTCCTATCTTCCAGGTTAAGTAATCAAGGCCTTCCTTTTTCAGTATACTACTTGTAAACTCTGGGTGAGGAACTGATGCTTGATAATTGACAGACTCCCACAGCCCCAAACCCCCTAGCTTCACATGGAGTGAATATCTTCTACATAGTCATGCTCGTCTGAAATCTACTTGCAGTGTTCTAGTGGTGCCTCAATACTGAAGTTCAATACTGAGGATAAAGAAGATATGTTAAGACCAAACTTTTACCATTGAGATTTACATGCTAATTCGGAGTAGTGAGAACTGGATCATGCTAAACTATTTGCTGTTTCGTTGCACGATGTGAATCTTGAAAATGAGTTTATGTTAGAGGCCTGTGACACGAGAAAGCCTGAATAACTAAACAGATCTCTTAGGATATGTCAACTGGAGATGAGTTTTTCTTCTTGCTTGTAACTGCTATATGGTGATCTAGAACCTCACCTTTCAAGATGACAAAATAAATGTAACTTTCTCCAAGCCTAATTATGGATTTAGCCTTCTTTGTTCTTGAAAGAGAAGTAAGAAATGCGAATTTAACCCTTCTTCTTGCTTGTAACTGCTATATGGTGATCTAGAACCTCAACTTTCAAGATGACAAAATAACTGTAACTATTGCAAGCCTAATTATGGATTTAGCCTTCTTTGTTCTTGAAAGAGAACTAAGAAATGTGAATTTAACCTAGTGTAGGATCAATGATTTGATGTATATGGCACTGTTAATTTCTTTGTTTGAGCTCCTGATGTGGTGTGATTTTGCAGATCCACATGTATTCTCTGGTATGGTGAAACAATGGTTTCAAGAGTTGAAAGATGATATGGAAGAACTACTTCAGACACGATTCTGTTTCAAATATAATCTGATAAACAATGTGAACCAGTTGTCGTGCAACTTGTATAGATGTTTTTATGAAATACTTGATGGGTTCGTTTCCTGTAAGGTATGGCCATTACACATAAGACTCTTCTGGTTAACTTACTAGTTAGTCTGTTGTACTGAGAAGTTAACATTTAAAAATATGATAATTTTAGATTCAGTTACATGCTAAAACCAAATGAATGTTTTCGGCACCTCATAATCTATTGATTCCTGTAACTGATAATATTTATCATGGTTATTTTTCATTAGTATATCACATGTACACTATGCATAAATTGGTGAAATACTGAATGCTCCGCCAATTAAAAACTTGGTTGATGATAATGTTTTTCTTTACACAGACCTGATCTCCTTGAAAAGTAACTATACTTCTGTTCACCATTGGTCTTCAATTGTTTTCCTATATGTAATATCTTTACTTCATCTTGGCCAGCAGACTTGCAGGTGCCATGGTATTCCGATGGATGAAGGGAATGTAAATAAGAAAAAGATTTCATGCCCAGTTACCGGACGTGTTCTTGGAGAGTTGGATTTGATTGAGAATTCTTTGAAAATTGGAGAAAGTACAATCTTGTTAATGCCTTCTTTTCAGTGCTGTCAGAAGCTAGAGCAAGTATCTTTTCCTATTGATTTCACTGTTGTTGAAAGAACCCCCATAGGATCACTAAGCGAAGGTATTTGTGTTGGTGAAACAATTCTGAATTTCATTTCCAACTAAGAATGAAATCTCTTTTGGGAGGTTTTTGCATGGCCTAGAGGAAGAATATTTTGTTATACTCCCTCTGTCCCGAAAAAATAGTCCACTTTGAGTTTTTGGACTATTTTTTTTGGCACAGAGGGAGTATCAAACTTTCGGTACCTCGGGTTTTTTTGCAATAGTTTTATTAACTGGGGAAAATTTTTTGTTTAGCTACAGCGTTATAGTGTCTTATTCTTTTGATATGTTATACAGGGGCTATTTTCGGTCCTTCATATGTTGTTGCTGCATCAACTTATGATGAGTACGATGATACAGACAAGTGGGAGAGAAACAGTCAACGTATGGACATGGATCTTTTAAATATATGACTGTAACTTTCATGTCAGGGAGGGATACTTGAAAATGACAATCATAGATGGACTAGATACCGCAAACCAGTGTTTGGTTAATCAGCTAAAAATGAAGCCCTTCTTTTGCAGTTTTCCAGGTGGTGTGCGAGATATTAAGTTCCCTTGACCAGGGTTTGATTTGCTCTTCCTACTGCAATGTCCAAACCATGGAGGAGACTTCATTTCTCTGCTATTATGTCCTACTACCTTCAGATAAAGGAATGATGCTTCTGCGGGTATTTTTTCTCACCATTCTAAACAGTTGGCTCTTTAAGTTTAACTGCATCTTTCTCTGTTCTTGTTCTGACTCATTCCAATCGATCCATATGTCGCTTCAGTTTGTGTAGCCTTTGAAACATTTCAGTTGGGCGGTTTCCTTCCTGTCTTTATAACAGGTGCCTTTTCCACAAAAAAAAAAAAAAAGGTCTTGAGCATAGTCATAGCTACAGAGAAATGTTAAGGTTGATAATAAGAATGTGTATCCTGATACCTAAACAGCTTCAGTTTACCTCTTCAAAATGTTATGTTATCTTTGTGGATTTTCTTCCAGTATCTATCTCTCCTAAAGAACGGATATAATCTACATCTGATTTTGAGATTTTAGGATGCTCTCTAAAAAGGCACTTTTCAATCGTTTCATTGTCCTTTATTGCCTTGTTATAATTTAAGTATTTGTGTATAATGCCTATGTCAGCGGCTTGTTGCATCAGAAGAAATTCTTCCTTTATTTTGTGGAAATCAATTTACTTGCTCTAAAATGGCCAAGGAAATGGAGAACGTGGTTCACTCTTCCTTGCTTAAGGTTCTCTCTCTCTCTCTCTCTCCCACCCTATCCCTTGGTTAATCATACTTACAAATGACAACAGATCAACTTATTTGCATGTTCATTCTCATTAGTTAGGAAAATTTGTGTTTCTTGGTCTGACCCGTGATAGCTTGCATCTCATATAAATCAGAAAAGCATTCAATCTAACTTCTTGGTAAAGCGAAGCTTGCTGGTGTACATGGTTTTACGATGAGAAATAAAGTGTCTTTTTCTGTTTAAGCTTGTTAAAAGTTAAGAATTCATGCACTTATGGGGAACATGAATCAACATGCATGTTTACAGTTGTATATTAAGGAATAATAGAAAAGATGAACCGAAATGCTCTCTTTTTGGAAAAATTTGTAGTTGTACGTAGTCTGCGATTTCACTTTTATTTACTTCACTCAGATGGAAGCAAGGACCTATAATCCGCTTCAGCATGAAAGAGGCTTCCACCAGAAATTAAACTTGCTTGTGAAAGAGAGTCTACAATTTGGGTAATCATCATTTTCTCCTTAAATGGATTGAAAAGTGATTGAAAAAGATAAATCACACAACCACTTGAACTTTTTTTTTAATTTTTTTTTTTTACACAACCACTTGAACTTATGTTCTCACTCATGCACATTTTAGACCTTTCTGTTGCTCAACGTGATAAGTCAGTTCCAATAATATTGTCCTTTGTGTGCTTAGCAGTAGAACTTGAGCAATGCAACATAATCCTGAATGTTTGCGGTCATTTCTCATAGATGAGTACTAAAGTTTCTACCATGTACCTTTCTGTTGCTCAACGTGATAAGTCAGTTCCAATAATATTGTCCTTTGTGTGCTTAGCAGTAGAACTTGAGCAATGCAACATAGTCCTGAATGTTCGCGGTCATTTCTCATAGATGAGTACTAAAGTTTCTACCATGTATTAATACATGTTTTTTGGGGGTACTAGTGTTGTCTGCTAATTGAGAAATCTGGCATGACTTTATTATGTGCAATCACATTATCAATTACACAGGATGTAAGGCACCGAAGCTACTTGCCGCATTGTCAGAGATTTCATAAGAAGTTGCAGAATCTTTTTCCTTTTACAATCATGTTGAATGTCAAAGTTTCACTTAATTACATGTCGAAATTTCTGAAGAAGCACTTGAACTAGATGTTTTGTGCATTTTAGACGCATTTGCAAAACAATTAAAAATTTTGCAAGCCCAGACTTGTAACCAGTCGAACATTATCGATGTTTTGCTATATTCTTATTTTTCCCTCTCTTAAAACAACCACTGATTGATTAGAGGTTTCTGGATTGAATCTTGGACGGGTTTGTTAATGTAATTTTACTCACTTTTGTATACTTGCTGTGTGAATAACATCAGGGCAATACCTCCAATTAGACAAACACATGGACTCTCTAGCTCAAACCAGCAAGATTCAGAAGAGGTTTCAGTATCATCCCCAGCAGCTGCTTTGTCTTTGGCAGAAGATAATATACCACAATCAAATAATGATATTGGGAACAAGTGCAGTTCAGGCATTGCAGAAGAATGGGAACAGTTGATGATCATTGACCCTCCCGACATTCATTCTCCTGTACCAGTCTCGAAGCCAAAGTTAGACTATCCAGTTTCATCCCAACTGCAGAGCAATAAGCAAGTAGATGAGAGAACCTCAAAAATCCTGGAGAGGCTGGAAGTCCCAAAGGAGTTAAAAAAGAAAGCTGTTTCTCCCAAAACCGCAGGCATTCCTTCTGCTGAATCATGCATGTTGACAAAGAAGCCTCTTATCCCGTATGGACCTACTCCTAATGATCAAGTTACAAGAGCAAGTCAGCCAATGAAGCCCAATTTTTCAAAGCTTAAGAGGAAAAGATAGTTCTTACCCAGAGTGTCAAGTGTATCCCTTCACCGCAATGGATGAGGTTAGTCCTGTTCACTTGATTATCAAGACATTTTTGCTCTCCTCAGAATATTTCTACCTGGGCTAAAAATGCAGTTTTATCACTTTATGTGAGTACAATGTACTGTGGTAGTTGTACATTTCATTGCTAGATGGGCTTTATAGATTCAGCATAACAATTGCCATGGGGTTTTGTTGCTCAAAATGGCCATTTTTCTTATCAGCGTACATGAATTCCTTTTTCCTTACTCATTTTTGGCGAATTTCAAAAGGAAGTCCCCCTCTGTATATTAATTAATGCTATGAGAATTTCAATCTGTTTTCAGCCCTTCAGATTGTCGGTATTACTGCAATAAAAAATGGATATCCCTGGTAATTTGAACTCTTGTGGTTTTGTTATTGATGATGTAACTCTATGTGAACAACTGGAAAAGCTCTCTTCAAATTAGTACAATGAAGAAGTGGACCTTTTTATTCCATCATTCTGTGGTGTTGAGATAATACAGTTGATCTTATAATGCATGCCTATGATGCATTTATCTTAATCCTCCAGTAGTTTAAACTTTGAATTGAACTGTCAAATTCTTTACCTATGCGATTGACTTGCAGTGCATATAAGAAGCATATGCATATCCAGAAGCCAGACCCAAGGGTAAGTTTCCATCAGTATACCTAAGAAAATGTCAAGTTGTCTTTTTTTTTTTAAAAAAAAATAATAATTCTGTTGCGGATTGTAACAGTAGCTTGTGCGATGAGCCTATTATCGTAATGTGGTAAATTTGGATTTTACATTTGCCGAGAATATTTTGACTAAGCTTGAATCCGCATGAATGCAATGAATTTGAGCTTTCGCAGTATGTGAAACATGGGCTAAAAAGAATTTCTGAAATTGTAAAGATGCAAAGGGATGACTGGATGGAAAAAAAAAAAGAAGACTGGATGAATAAATAAATTAACAAGCCTTGTGTGTATATCTGATCAAATTAGATTGGGATCTGATCTCTTAAATTTTGATAATGTTAAAATTAGATGGGTGCGAACTTTTACTTGTCACTACTATTTGGTTGCATAAATTAGCAATCCAATTGATCCAAGTTCCTACAACTTACAAGGCATTGAATGTAGTAGGGGCGGTGTGATTTTTTTTCATCTTTTATTAAAGTTTAACCTTTTAGACGCCATGGGGACAGGTATATATAACAACAATTTCCACTGAATTGCGAATGTCATTTTCTTCATAGGTTTCGAACAGTATCGTATACGAGTTGTGCACGTACGTACGCACGCGATCTCCTTTCACATGCTGTATTTTGGCCACATTTTAATTGCATTTCCTTCGGCAATCTGGATCAATTAGTTTGACTCGTGGACAAGCGTAGTACAGATACATGATCTATTGGAGGAACTTTCTGGGTGGGAATCAGGGCTTCAAGTCTGTACCGGGTTTAAAATGGAATCAGATGGGGCGATAATTTGTGACACCGTACAAATTTAATTTAATAAAAACGTAGCAATTTTAGTGATAGAGATAATCATGTCTGTTAATTTGATTTGGGACTCTTCATACACAAGAACTGGAAAACACTATCTAGTAAAACCACAAAATCCTCAAACTCTTTACCCATAAATGTAAAAACACGACTCATTCATCATCATTTAACTTGAAAATGGTGATCATCATTTGGTTTGACAGCACTGAAAGTGCAATTGTATTGAGTTGACGGAAGAAATGGGAGGTGGGATATTACCATATATTTTGGTCCCCTTTGTTTACAAAGCTGAAAACCACAAATGAAATCTTTACACCAAAAAAATAAAAATAAAAGGGTCGATCTCCACAGTTTGAATATTGAAAGAAATACACAATCCGTAGGTAACAACGATCAATAATATACTAGTATACTTGGTTGGTGGTCGGCATTCTCCCATTACCCGGCCAATCACACCATCCTTAACAGTTTAACAGTATATACTTCGCCATATCTCTCTAGATCTGATATATATCGTATACCTCTATCTATAGGGGGGGAAAAAAATTGGAATTGTTTAAAAAACAACGAACCTATACCACGTCAGTCAAGAAATAAGCAATACAATTAACGTCACCAAACCACTATCAAAATTCATGGGGGGTGTCCCACCATTGCATTAGGCGTAGGACCAATTCCACGATTTTTGGCCTCCATGATAACTCTCCTTTTTTTTTTTTTTTGGTTTCCTCAAAGTCGTGGTGACATGAACAGCACTTATTTGAAATTATTCATCAGCTACATTGTTACTGTACAATAGGGGGTGCAACTTGAGAGAGCCAAGTGATCTAGAAGTTATGAGCTTCGTTTGAAATTAGGGGTCTTGAAGATTCTTCTTCTTCTTCTCAATTGATAATTATTCTCCATTCCGATCAGAAATTTTCTTTGTGGAATTCGAATTTGGTGGAGGTCTTATGAGAAAAATCGGAGGCTAGCTGTTTTAACTCTTTTACTGGTGCTGGTGCCCCACAATAAAATACCCCTGCCAAAAAGCCAAAAAAATAAATAAAATGTAAGTACTAATCAGAAAACGATATTAGGGATAATACCATTTAACAAAGTTAGCTAAGAATATCACCAATGAGGTAGATAAACGTAAAAGCAGTGGATTCATGCGTTTCACATATATTATAATGCAAGCATGATTGAAGGTTGTCATCATCATCCAACAAAAGCAAAACCACTCAAATATTAAAAATCCATGGAGGCGATTTTTATTTTTTTTTTATATGCCTGTTCTGTCGTTAACCTTAAATAAATACACTTTTGAGTTAAAAATATTTTTTCTCACTTGTTTTGGTATTGTACAAAAGACATATGGTGGTATAGATTAATGACTAAATGCTTCATTTAGTGGAAGTCATGATCTTAAACCAAACCTTGTGTAATGATAACGTATATAAGATAAAATAAGTTGACTACCCAAAAGGCCAATACCCCTTTTTTTTTTTGTAAAAACAAAGAAGAAGCCAAAAGCATTATTGATCATCTCTATCCAAGAACAAAAAGCTTTTTAGGATAGGTTAGATGTCTGCTTTGTACTTAAATTATTAAGAAAATGTATACCAAGAATAAAAAATAAAGTTGTGTGAAAGCTTAGGCCTATTTTCATAATCCAATTAGTTAGTAGATTCATGATCCCATTTTCTTAAAAGACACGGCTAAGGACTAAGAACATTAAAAGGTAACACATAATGATGTCAACAAATCGATGCATGTGACAAAAATATCAAACCCTAAAAAAATGTTATAATTTTTTAAGGAAAAAAAAAGAGAACTTATATTGGATGGGGGAAAAGAAAACTTACCGACTCTTTGATTCGTGTGATTGACGGCAATTCGTTTGTAGACATTCCTCCAATTTGGCTTGGCAAAATGTGACTTGACCCGGGTACCCGAAACAACATCCACTCCATTTTTAGCATGGTTTAAGGATTGAAGCATGGTAATAAGAGCCGATCTTGCATCACCTTCTTCATAAACACTTGTGCAATAATTATGCATTTCAATGACTCCCTTTTTATCCGTTTCCGCGACTTCGTTCATTATACCTTTGAACCAATCAAATGAGCCTTGTTCCCTTGTCACCCAATAGAAATAAGCCCTTTTTGTTCTGAAGTTCCCTCCACTTCCTGATCCGACTTTCCTCTTTTGTGTCATGGGACTTCCAAATGGAGAAGGTGTGCGACTGCCATTTTCTAGAGAATTCTCTTCTTCTTCGATGGCTTTCATGTTGTTCACAATGTCTTTCACAATGCTGATCATCGGAGTTGCTCCGATACCCAACCCGACGAGCAACACGACGTCGTATTTCTTGTAGTCTTGTGCTGGTGCTCCATATGGTCCATCAATCAACACCCTAGGGAAACTGTTTATTTCATCACACAAAATAAACTAAAATTAGTAATAATTAATTAACGACGTCACATTATCTACATATGTTTCTTTTACTTTAAAAAAAAAAAACAAAAAATCAAATCTGTTTCTAAACTTGAATTGTCGTTCCAATCAAGAATAATCTGATTATGATCTGAGTTACATGCATGGCATGGCATGCATCCACGATCTTTGCATATGTAAGAAAATATCATAACACGGAGTGAAGATATTATCAAAATAATTGATGTTAAGAGTTGAACATCGCACGTTGTTAGAGTCATGTGCAACTTTTCCTCTTTCAGTTATCATTTTATTTTCGAAGGTGAGCCAATAATTTCCCTATAGTGCATGCATGACCCAAACAAAAAGATTCGGTACGATTACATTATCAAGTTCACGTCCACAAGGACCACACAAGAAAAAAAAAAAAAAAATCTACAATGCCACTAACTAACATGGATTCATGTATTTATGTTTCGCTTAGTTTGCCATGTTCGAATTTGTCACCCATGATGTTGATAATTTTTCGCTGATTTTAATACCCTTTACGTCCAAGCATAACAGCCATATTAGTTGAACTGTTTTATTATACTACTTCCGTCCTAAACAACTAGTCCACATTGAGTTTTCAAATTTATATTAAAACAATATAAAACTCAAAATTCAATATGAACTATTTTTGTGGGATAGAGGGAGTAACAAATATGACTTATATTTTGAGTCTGGGTGCATGAATATTGAATTTTGAATACACCTCGAGGGTTAAAAATGGAAACTTACTTAGGATTATTCTCCATTCCTCCTTCGAGAAGTTCAGGCGACTGATCGAACCTGAGTAGTCCACTTTTCCCTGTTGGTGGTGGCTGACAAACCTAACAAATCCCAAAGACCAAATTATAATTAATAAAAACTCTGTACGCAAAATTAGAAAACATTTAGTCAGAATTAATCAAATTGTCAATGAAGATAATTTCAACTTCTAAAGTTACAATAGTGTCTAGGGAGTCCTATGGTTAGGGTAAGTTTCCTACCTAACAATTGCAATGGAATATCTTTTGTTGGTTGAGGCCAAGATACAGACACCATTTCAACGTCAGAAAAGTCTACATTTTTCCCTTTATTTGATTATCATTTTTTTTTCCTTGGGTTTTCTTTCCCTTTTATGCAAATGAGGTCTTAATTTCAAGAGGGAAACAACACCACACGGTTCTTGAAAAGTATGATTGGATATTTTTATCTCTAAACATATATGGGTACAATAGATATCGGATAATGACTAGAAAGAAACAACTCAACTTTCTTAAAATAGGTATACCACAAAAATCTAACAAAATTTGACCTAAATAGAAAATGAGAATAGAATTGGGAAGCTTTACCTCAGAGAAAACAGCTCTAAGTTGTCTGGTCCAATCGCCAAGAGTACGAATATGAACACTCAAGTAGTCATCTCTAGGCGCTGAAGTTATGGAGAACGGATGCCTGTGTTTTTAATTTTGACCAAATTTTAGAAAAAGTTACATGTAAATGCAATAAAATCAAAAGTCCAACAAGGCAACGTAAAAAAAAAAGCCAAAAATAAACAGAATAAATTGTTTTATATAAATGTCAATATTGCTAGAGCATGCATAGAAACATCATTTTGGTTAATTTCCTTGAAAAACGATTATAATAATATAATGGACTTGAGGAAGCAGTAAATTGTGGAAAAATGAGTCAAAAGTTTAATGCAACAAGTGGTAAAACTTTTTTGCTTTTCCTTTTTAATTTCATTTTAAAAAGAAAGTCATTAATTGTTGTTTTGAAAATTCACCCCACTACTTAGACTATTAAGTGACTACTAAATGATAGCAATGATAATAATAATACTCGAAAAACAGTTTTGTTGCAAAAACAAAATTTTTTATTTTAAAACGCAAGATAATAATCAAGGTCAAAGAGGAAGTAATCTTTTATGAGCTTTCACCTACCACTCAAAGGGGGAAACAGCTGCACAATTGACAAACATATATTGACCACTTTTGTATTTGAATCCTTGTGGCTTTGACATATGAAGTGCTAGCACGTTTCCTGGATATACCGCCACCTACAAAAATTTCGATAAAAAAGATAGTATTATCATTAGTGATCTAAATCAAATTATTTATTCTGTTTTATTAAGAAACGGACATTTAAATTTTTTTGCATTTGATGATATAATTTTATTTACCTTTAGAATTTTGACAGGCTTGACACTCGACCTCAATGCCCTGATCAGCCTCTCACAGGCATAAAGTGTGATAGGAACAGCCAAATACATCCATGTCTGCCATAATAACCCAAATCATTGATAACATTATTTTTAGGGGAAAGAGGAAAAATAAAGCTTCATAATTTGTTCAGTTATTGCTTTTTTTTCTCGTCTCAACAAATATGACTCTTATTTTGAAACAAGAAAAAATGGAGAAAAAAATACTAACCGTTTTCTTGTACCATTTGTGGGTCAAGTATAGCTTGATACCATGAACAATGAGGCAGGCGTAAACAATAACGAAGAGGTGGTGGGAATACCAAAAGGCATTGAAACCAGTAAGCTTCTTGAGGGGCTTTGGTAAGTTCTTGAACTTTCCACGCCTGAACCAAGGTGTGGCTAAAGTGAAGGCTATGGCCATCAAAACCACCATAACAAGCCCTGTGATTCCTTCCACACTCTTCACAAAATGCCAATAGCTTGTGGGTTGTTTTCCAAAGAATTGGATCATTGGCTTGTATTTCTCCGGACTTGCATGAAGTAGCCTTGGAAAATCACATGTCAAGTGAGCAATTCCATGGATTCCGGTTCCAATTGCAATTGCCACCGCGATCACCTGAAATAAATAATAAATAAATAAATCCTCTTATCTTAAATGGATATATTAGGTTTTTTTTAATCTACATTAAACTAAAGAATGTTAGAAACAAGAAGACTTACTTTGTGAAAATTGAGGTTGTCATCAAAGGGAACAGCAGCACCCAACTTAGTCTTGTTCCTAAGCCAAGTAATGGTGTTCCTACAAACTGGGAGCAAAATCAATGCCATGTTTAACTTCAATGTCTCAGCGGCTCCTTTAGCCATGCAAACACAAGCTCCCATCACACCATAGGCAGCCCTATTTTTGTATTGAATATATTTGTAAGTAAATAGCCCAGCCATAACCCCAATCCACAACGCCAACACCCAAATCCTTTGCCAATTGTCCTGTAAAAAGTAGTTGAAATTCTGCAAACTTCTTCTGAAAATGTTGTGGTCCACCGTTGGCTTGAGTTTCTGGCTTAACATTTGGCTCAGAAGTTTGCTCTCCCCTCTTACTGATTTGCTTGGTGCTTGTAATAATAGCATCTCCAAGTTTTCTACCTGTTCATTCAACAGATAACGTTACAAAACAATCAACACTAAACTTTACAGTGATATTGTTTATTTTGGGACGAAAAAAATACGACTAAATTTTGAAATTTTCCAGTTACGTATTTTAGTAATCATTATTACCAGTACATATCCCTTATTATTAGGGTCCAACTCCTCCATGATTAATGCTGCATATTCATCGGCTTGATTCTGAATGTTGGAGAGCTTATTGGCTGATGCACTTAGGCTAATAATCTGCAAACAAATTAGAAAAACAAAAAAAGAATAAGTCAACATTTATTATATTGTTGTGTAGAAAAATGAAAGGAAGAAAGGGTTAAAACAAAAAGAAAAGAAAAGAAAACGGTGGATTTCATATAGTTTACGTCAACATTATATCATCAAATACTAATGTAAATGTAAATTTACATTGACTTATGACTTCAACACGTCCAAGACTTGGTCAATTTTGTTTCTGGGTTTACCCCTTCTCTAACTTTTCATACACTCACTAGCTGGATAACGTTAATTGCCCACCAAGAAAGATGAATTTCTATCACACTCTCTCATAACCCAAAATGATTGACAGTATAAGAGAGAATATTTTGGACGGAAGGAATAGTAGTACTAATAATTTTCATAAATTAATCAACCAAAAAAAAAAAAAAGTATCTGCATTACCTCTTTCACTTCTTCTTCAGTAATTCTGCCATCAGCATCTTTGTCGACCCTGCTCATTTCCAAAACATCGTATACATCAATTATTAATCATGACATAAATTGATGATATCCAAACATTAGTTAAACCGACCAAAATTAAGAACGGCATGAAATGATTAATGAGTTTATTACATGTCAAAGAACGTCTGAAGTCGGGAATCAAAGCTTTGATCTGAAATTTGGTCCCAAAACTCTTTAAGATGTGCTTTGTCGATGGAATCTCCGGTGATGTTCCTCCTCCTACCAAGTGCATCAAATAGCTCCTCCGCAAAATCCTTGGAGTCCTTGTTCATTCCTGTAGTAATTAATAATAAATCAAATCACAGTTAATCCAAAAAAAAAAAAAAAAAACCTTCTACAAAATCAAAAAATGCTACTAACTCAGTTATAAAATGCTACAATTAATATTGAAACTAAAAATTCAAACTGTATAATTATTTAAGGACAGAAGAAATACGTCAGAATGTCCAAGTTAGGTAAGACTTGAAGAAGTTTACCTATGCATTCCCAGAACTTTGAACGGGGAAGCAACCCGTTGGTGGTGGCGGTGAGCTCATCGAAACGCTTCTCGACGGCGGCCCAAGCGGCTGCCCCATCAGTTTTACTAATGAATTTAAGCCCTTTCAAAGCATGAGCGGCAGCCGATTTGGTCCGATCATACTTACCCATCGGAGGCCTTCGGTTCAAAGAAGCGAAACGCTTAAGCTCTTGAGAAAACTGCCGGATTCTGGACGAAGCATTTCTGACCATATTCGAACCCAACGAAGTCTTCTTCTCCAACCCTCTGGCCAACAATGCCAGCTCCGGGTCCTCTATCTCGCCACCGCCGGCAGTCTTCACGCTGTGAACCGCCACCGTGTCGTCAGATACGTCCAGCGTGATTTCCACGTACGCATCGTCACCGGCCATGCTGCCGGAATTTCCACTGCTCCCGCCGCCGGCGGCGGTGGCGTTGTTATTCTCTCCGGGGATGTTGAATCTGGCACTCTTTTTGCTACCCCTTTTGTTTAACGGACCGCTGAAACTCGATTTCCGGTCGACAACTTCGGTATCTGAATGGTAATGGCGGTGTTGAGTCTCCATGCTATTTTGCATGAATGTGACAAATATATTTTGAAGGTTCTAATACCGACAATATCCAATTTGAACTTAGAAGAAATGATACTCCCAAAAAAAAAAGGTGGAGTTTAATGGGATGAAGAGTGATGAATTTTTAATGGAGGAAGAACATCAAAAATGGAGAGTGATGAAATTTTTTTTGTTTTGATGATTTCTAATAAGTTCTACTTTCCTATCTTTTTTGAGAGTCAAGAATTCACCAACTATGGCTTTTTTGGGGGAAGAATTCCGCTACTTATATACTTGGGTTTCTTTCTAGACGTTTTAGGAAGCACACAGGATGGATCAGACCCTTTTTTTTTTTTCAGATTTGACCATAGGGGTTTGGGGTTGTTAAAAATTTTACTGTATTTCCACTTGTCTTTTTTAATTTGTTTGGTCTTTCCAAATATTTGGTATGATTTTGTCCATGATGAAAGTCTAGTACTACTACTTTTTAAGAAAGGTATAACTGATTAGTATCTCTGTTTTTTCTTCTTTCTTAAAAAAACACGGCAGGGGTATATTTGTTCCATATTGGGAAAATGAGTCTTTTCATCCCAAAGTTTAAGAACATCCTATTTACATCCTAAACTTTTTAAAAACATGTTACAGTGGGATATTCGTTAAATTTTTAACTCCAATTAATTAATTAGTGGTGGTACTTTATTCTGTTTTCTCTCCCCCAATTCTTTTAATCATTTAACACGTTCCACTAGCTCCTACCTTATAAGAAAATAGCTAAACCTCATTTGGTCTTCACATCATCCATTCTTCCCTTGCTTAGAAAAAAAAAAAAAAATCTAAGATTCACCTTCTAAATTGATAACAATCATGAGAGGTTTTGTGTGTGTCCTAATTAGAAAGTAAGTCTTATTTCATTTTTTTTTTTAAATATGTAGCATCATTATAAAAATTGGTGTTGTAATTGATGAAAGGGCATGCAACTTTTTTGCTTGGCATGGACCAAATTTACCAAACGCAAGTATGAAATTTTTTTGACTAAAAAAAATAGGGAAAAGAAATTGAATGAAATATCGGCGTTAATAACTTGAAAAAATTAACAAATGTCCTAATATTACATATTTTTGAAAAAATTTGGGATGAAAATAGCGTGCTTTTAAACTTTGGGATGTTTTAGATGGTGTAACTCAAACCTTGGGATGAAAAGGTCCATTCTTCCTTGTTGGATATTTGACGCTGAATTATGTACAGTGTATGCATTCTTTTTAATAGGAAAAAAGAAAAGGGCGATATTCGTATTCCAAAATATACGTACTAACTTTATAGTTTTTCACATTTCAACAATACTAATTCAGAAGGAAAATAAAAACGCCATTGATATGATTATGATGTGACTTGACTTCATAGTAGTAACGTTAGTAGGGATTTTAAGGGGCAGTATTTAAAATTGCAACCTTAAGGACAAAGATGAAAGTTGAAAGCTGTTGATAAATGACACATTTTTTTTTTTTTTTATTTCTCTGAAACAAGAAATACACCAGATTTTTTTTATCATCTTAACATATAATGGCTTCTGATTCCACTTTAATTTCCTAGGTTAACCATTAGTCTTGCGACTCGTGCCTCGTCACTTTGAAATTAGCTATTAAAAAAAAAAGCTAAATTAACTCCAAGTTCATTTCATATCTTGCCAATAAGTTTGGCAATAATTAGAGTTTTCTTTTAAAAAAACAAACAATATATATATATATATATATATATATATTCTCTCTTCATGAAGAATATATATACAGATATGATATAACATGGCGATGATACGCACGTGACATGCTATACAATTAAGGGTTAGATTTGGTTAGAGTTGAATTACATGGAAATTTCTGATGCTTATACTTTAATTGATGGGACAAAATTGAAGAAACGTTCTTGATTGAGCTAGAAAAAAAGTATAACTGAACAGAAAGCAAGTTGTCGTTTATATCCTCTCACGACGACAGTATACAAAAACATCACATTTCAACGCTTTTTAATTAATTCTTGACGACGATAGAAATATTATCTCCGAGATTATTCTTCTGAATCTGAATTCATGGGCCAAGTTTTTCCACACGTACATTAACAAATATTCTTGTATAATTAATGGCAAATTCAAACTGAAAAACCGAATAAGATTGCTCAAATAAATAATGATTAGCACCTCACTTAATTAATCGTTCGACATTAGATCAACCACCATACAACGAACCTGGTTAGACGGACTGGTATACACAAGCTTATTGGAAGTAAATAATCATTCACATATATCTTAAGCATCGGATTAGATTTTCTGTGCTACGAATGTTATTGCTACATTATTTTTCCCCCCAGTAACTCTAGCTAGCTTAATTAGCTAGTATTTTAGTTTACAGATGTCTTTTTAATTCATGATAGTGTATTAACATCCTAATATGAATTAATAGAAAGTTAACATGAACATATCATTAATTGAAAATGTTGTAAGTTGGGAAAAATTGGCCCAAGGCTGTTCCCTTCCCTATATATTGGGCTTATATATTGTATTCCCTCTGTTTTAATGTATACTCCTTCCGTTCTGAAATTATTGTCTAGTTTCAATTTTTGTTTCTAGTACAAATTAAACTAAACATAAAAATCTAAACTGAATAATAATTTTATGACTGAAAAAATACATCATATCTATAGTATTTAATGAAAGCAGCAAACAAAAAGGACATGTGTCAGCACTACAATGAAAATTTTCTCGCCAAAAATCATTTTCAGTACAAAATCATTTTTAACAAGTGGCACTCTAACTAATCAGAAAAAAAGATGGAATAGATAAATACATAAATCCCTTAATTATAGCTACATAAAAATCTCTTAATTATAGGTATATACTAATCTTTTAAAACAACAATATTTAGTTAATAAAATCAAATGTAAGGAAATCCTAAGTGAAACACAATAATGTTTTCCCAATTTCCAATTTCAAAAAATCTCTTTCATTCCGCTCCTCTCTCACATGCGGGCCTTTAAATTAATTACTTAAAATTTGACATCAATTATCAATCCATCTCTTTCTACAACAGAGACAAAATAAGCTGTCATGAAAGAAATTTGATTTTTTAAGGATGATTTTTTTTAATTCTTCTGTTGTAGATATTAGTTTATGATTTATGTAAACTCGGACATAAGTTAACTGTTGTAAATTAAATGTTATGAATCTGGGCATAGATTTATGTATAATAACTCACTTTCTATCCTTTCAATCGATTTTTTATTTTTTTTTTTTATTCTTTTAAAAATTATTCATTTGTGGTTGATTCCCCTAAAGAGCTAAAATTCCATACTCGATGCCTATTTTAGAAGAAGTCTTAAGCCAGCCCTAGTCCCACTAATCTAATGGTTTAAAGGCCAATGGAACATGCAACTACTCGGCTTTGAGGGAGAGAATTTCATCTTATAATATAGCTCTTGAGGTGGTAACCTCAGTCTTCTTTCAGAAATAGAAAGTCATGAGCAGGAGTCAATCTTCTACCAATCTTTATTCAGTTGAGGTTGTGATCCCAACTTACTTTTTTTATTTAATCGATTTAAAAATACAGGCGGCACCCGGACATTCGCCGGAGCAAGCATCTAGTCATATATTAAGTAAGGAAACAGTTTGGTGAGAACTACGATAAGAAGGTATTTCTGTTTGCTGGGACAACAAATGGATTACCTACATTTCCACTAAGCATACAATTTCAGTAGATTCCTCTTGAAGCCTGCTAGAAATTTAGAAATCATGTTCTTTTGATCTTAATATAATTAATTATATATTTGTTAAATTATGTTGGTACTAATAAACCAAAGTTTCAAAACGAAACCAATGAAGTACTAATATTTAGTGCATTAACTGTTTATTACACACCAATGTTTATTAATAGCCGATATATGTGTAATGATGATTATCTAAAAAATAATTTTATTTTTAATACCATAAATATATACAAGTATATATAGATATATATATATATATTATTTTCTCAATTATAAAATAATTTTTTTAATTTGAAATTTCATTTATAATAAATGTTAAAGGTAGATAATTGTTTGCTCAGGTTAAAATTTTTATTTTATTTTTTTAGATTTGAAATTGAAGGACACAAAATGAAGTATATACTTATTGGCACTAGTTCGTTTACATCCGTTTCTGTTGATTAATAATTAATTTTTTTTCTTTCATATATTTTTAAAACAGAAGAGGCAGACGTTTTAAGCATGGAGTTATAACATTTCCTGAATGTTAAAAAAACACTAATTATACCTCGTTTTAATCACGAATATTTCAACGACCTCATTCGGAAGATCGTGTATACAGCCCGTAAACATACATCTTTTCTGTATGAGTAAATAGTAATGGTATTCAAACTATATCTATATCTATCTCTCTCTCTCTCTCTCTCTCTCTATATATATATATATATATATATCCATAGTTTAATATGGATAAAAGAACTCAAGACAGATAATGTTCAAATTTGACAAAAACCGTCTAACCAACTAGCTAGTTGTTAATTGGTGATCAACTTGAGGAATCAAATGGCTCGGAAGGAAGGAGTACAAAAATAAAATTAGATTACAGTAAACTCAGAAAAAAAAATTTAATTAATGTCGTTGGAATACGGTTATGTATAATGACAGGTCTAGGCTAATGCATTTTTTAATTTTATTTTTTTGAGCATGTGCTAAAATTGGTCATTTGGCAACTTGTTCATTAATTTTCCCGTGGGCGATGATCATTGCGGTTTGATAATTCTTGTAGATTTCGCATTGATGCATTACTATTACTACTACTACTACTACATGCATACAGTAAAGAGATTCCACGCTTTTGTTTGACAAACGTATGAAACCTAAGAATTTCCAGATGATAATTGATCAAACCAATCAATCCGTCTCTCTCATTTTACACTTTAGAATATGATTTTTCCGATCTCATTAGCAGATAAGTCAACTTCTACCTCTTTTGTTGTTGGACAGACATTCAATGCCTGCCCAATATAAGCAGCCACGCTGGCCGACCTTCAAATATTTCTTTCCTTGTTTTCAACTTTGAATTTTCGAGGTTGCTTTCCTAAAAATTTTTTTTTCTTTCTTTGAACATGAGTTTTTTTAAGTGGATATATATCATATACTCTCTCTGTCTAACAAAAATAATCTGTATCATATTTTGATATTAAACTATTTCTCCCATACATAAATAATAATTAATATGAGTTCTGTTCAAAGTAAATCATTTTTCAAAATCTTGTTCAGCTTGCAAGTTTAAGTTAGTTGTGGTAATTGAAGTTAGAACTTAGAAACATAATTCATATTCACTTTTACTTTCTTTTTTTTTTTTTTTTGTCCTAACATGATTAGTTAAAAATTCATATAATATTACAGTTTAAATTTATGTCTTATATACAGGAACAAAGGAAGTAGTATGTAAAAACCGCAAAACAAAGGCTGCATAATGAAACATTTCTTTTGAGAGACGAATTTTTGTAGCCGACTATCTGATAGCACTTGTATCGTCTCAAGGCTTCGAAGGCTTGTAGTGGTTACAAACTCTACCAACGGAGGCGAGAATGTGATTACAACATGATCTAATTGGAGTATCATTTCTTAGAAATGTAATAATATGGATTTAGACATTTAACCTCTTTCTTTGTTAAAAAGGAAAAATAAAAAGAAAAGAAATGGCACAATGAAAGACTTCTCTCTTCTAGTTTATTTGTTGACATATTAGATATATCAATCAATGAAATATGGATGTATATATGGTTTCTAAGAATACAGATATATTGCTTAAAAAGGAAAATTGCACATTCTTGTTCACTAGTCCCTGATCAATTATAAAGAACTTTCTACCTACCCAGTTCTTTGATTGATTCCGACTTGATCGTTTTGGTATCCATGCATGCATGAAACCCCGAAGTATAACCCATTTCTTCTCGAAACATTGTATTTTAATATTGCGAAAACGAGAGGTTGTCAACAAAGTTGTGCATAGGTCATCGAAACATTTTAAATACATTAAGTATGCATTTTTTTTAATACATTAAATATATATATTTTTATTTTTAAGAAAAAAGAAAAAAAGAAAAAAGAATCGTTGTCCATGTTAACATACCTTTCAAAGCTCAAACGGGTAGCTAATTAAATATGTATCTATATAGCTATGAAAAAATGGTTAAATCTCTTAATCATACCGGATTGATGATGACATCAACTGCTACAAAACAGAGAATTTTGATTACGAAGCTGCAGGGAATCGAAGGAAAAAGATGCATGATTTTACTCCCTCTGTCCCAAAATTGTTGTCCACTTTGAGATTTCACTTTTAATACAATTTGAACTAGAAATGAAAATCCAATCTGGACAATAATTATGGGACGAAGGGAGTAATAATTATTTTACCGGGATACTTAAAAGTATGGTGCCATTTGTATCTTAATTTTCAAACGACAAATTAATTTTCAAAAATGAATTTGTTTGTCATTTGTATCTTAACTTCTAAATTATAAAAAAAAAAGGAATAAGAAATGTGAAAATTAATAATTAAATAATTTAATCGAGTTGAAAAAAATTAAATAACCTAGAAGAAACAACTTGTCTTAGCTAATTCTTTTAGTTTTCTTTTTGTTTAAAATGGTAAATTATTAATTTTCATGTTTACTTTAACTCGAATTTTTCTTCTTCATTTCTTAAATTTTTTTTAAAAAAAATTTTTAAAATCTAGAAGTTAAAATAAAAAAAGAAAATAAATTTTTAAAATTTAGAATTATACTACTAGTGTATACAAGTTAGGAAGTATAAGAAGAAAAATTGAAAAAAAAAATTGAAAGATTAAAAAAAATAAAAAATAAGAAAATGACAAAAATACCCCTAAACCCAAAAGCATGTGAAAAATGGATTTCCGCCACTATTTAACAGCCAAAATTAACAGAATAATCTGAAATGGATAAAAAATTTAGTAAGATAATCTGTGTTACAAATAAATTTAATTAATGATATAGAGTGGAAATATATTAAAGGTTGATGACTTATTTTAAGGTTCACTCTTATCTAAAATAAGAGTTTTTTTATTTATTACTTACTATGCCTCTCTACAGAGAGCCGCCATCTTTTGACAATCATTTGAGATTTGAGATTTGGGAATGGATTTTACTTTTTACTGCTGAAGATACATACACACGCACAATTCAAACTTTCTTTTTAGCTCTAATTGTGGTTAATTCACTCATTTTTTCAACTGTAGTGCTAATTACTGTGGAATATATATATATATATATATATATATATATATGAATATAAACTAAATTCGTCAGCTCATTAAATTCGAAACAAGGAATTCATGGTAACACAGTATACTATAGAAACTGATCCAACGGCTGGGGAAAAAAATCACCGGAAGAGAAAAGTCCATTTTCAAACGTGAGTCTTCCAGAATTTATATTCACTCGTATGAACATAATCAGAAATATTTATACTGTTTTCTTGATGTCAGTGTTATTGAAAAAGATCAAAAAGAAGGAACGAAAATGTCAACGGTATTCGGTAGGTAAATTCGCAAAAATAATTTCATCCAATTAGTTCAAGAATGGTGACTGAATTAATGATGAAAACCTGGAACAAACAAGCCCTTGTACGTACTTTATGCCCCTAGTTTTTTCCAATTAACCTTGTCACACAACGAAATCAAACTAAACACAGATTTTATATATATAAGAGAAAGCCAAAATTATGCGCTTAATCTCATATTACATCTGGTTTGGTTTGCATTTAATTAAATAAATCCCGACCATGAGTACGTAGTAAATTGTTATAGTAGTAGTACAATGCTTATAGTAGTGGTATCATATATAAGGTGATATATAATTACTTCTAATTAACGTAGAAATCAAAGGGATTAAATAATTAAGAAAGAATCATCATTAGTTAACGTCGTAATGAAGTAAATACTTTTTGAATGACGATGGTAATCAACGATGAAGACCTTAATTAGCTGTAATCGAATGGATTAGGGGAAAATTAAATTCTTGCGTTGACCAAGGGAAAGAGTAAAAGTAAAAGCATTAGATTAATTTTTAATAAGGGAAAAAAAAACATTAATTCTCTGATCAGCTTGGGGGGTGAAGTCAATTCGTCAAGTCTCAACAACGGGAGCGAGGCACATGCAGTGAGAATGATCATCAATAAAACGCGTAGTTGGAAAGTCGTATCGTCCTGTCACTTAGGGTAGGTGTGTGTGTGTGTGTGTGTGTGTTTTGAAGTGTAAAAGACCTTGAAACGACGACTGGAGAAATTACGCCCCGGAAGAAGAACATAACTCCATGCGCGTTTCTGTATACTCTTTAATCATATCAGTTCGCCACTAGTTACCCTGAGTTTCGTTTCTCCTTCTATTAAACTCAGAGACCTTGTTTAAACTTTAAATAGTACCGATTATTTTTCCTACTCGATTTATAGTAAAAATTAACTGGTTCGTGTGTGACATGTACGTATTAAAATAAGATGAGGGAAACACTCCATTTGATTATAATAAGTTACGATACGATTCTCGCCCTCTAAAATTTTTAAACATGTGTGATCAGATCATATATAGTCCTTTTGAATCTGCTTGTTATATAGTCAAATTCTAGCAATATGAGGTTCTTTAGATGCCCTAGTAGTGATTGACAATGCATTACAGAAATCTCAAGTGACCGTAAATGTTTCATATATTTTTTTTTCAAAAACTTAGGTTGACGAACTAATTAATACTCCATCCGTCCCATAATTATTGTCCAGTTTGAGTTTTTATTTATAGTTCAAATTGTACTAAAAGTGAAATATCAAATTAGACAATAATTTTGGGACAAAGGGAGTAGTACACTGCAAGAATTGAACGGTCAAAAAGAGACTCGCAGAGTATTCATTAGTTCGACTATAAAAAGACTTTGAAAACACATGCATTGTGTTAATCAAACTTTCAGACTTCATCATCAGCTCATCACTCATCTTCATACTTGAGACCTGAGAGACTTGAGAGTAAGTATATGGCTACCACGTTGGTGGAGATCTTCAATAGACTATACTGAAGTATAACCTCACTTCGTTTTAACCTGAAATATATGTTTTAATCAGTAGTGTTGACCTGGGAATGGTTTCATGTAGTTAACCAAATCAAAGAAAAAAGTTTTAATTAGTTGATTAAAACTTTCAGGACCGGAAGTCCGGAACCCTAAATCACGTAGGGAAACATAATTTGAGTTCTTTTTTTTTTTTTTTTTTGGAGCATTATTAAGAAGGAGGTCCTCTAACAATTGTGGCGGTGCTATCTTATTTCATAATTAATCTTCAGTTCTCACTACCTAGCTAGTATCCGATATTAACTTACAACGTGTCAATTAGCAAAAATGAAAAGAGAAGTGCTTAATTTGAACTTTGGACATACAAGATTGAACTGTTTTAAATTATTATTCCCTCCGTTCCCAAATTATAGTTTAGTTTGAATTTTCAATTTTAGTTCAAATTGTGATAAAAGTAAAATCCTAAACTGAACAATAATTTTGGGATGGAAGGAATATTATACTCCCTTAGTCTCACAAGTGTTTTATCACATCAAAACATACTAGTTACTGATCATTCCTATATTTTTAAAGAAGAATAAGCTTCTATATGTAACTTAAGTCTGTGTCGATCATAAGACCGAAAGAGCACCTAATATCGTTGAAAGAACAGCCCGTGTAAACGCGAAAGTACATGCCCAACTATGCCGTTTTATTTAAAGGGCGACAACTCAAACAATCCATTTTTCGAAGGAAAAAAAAAAATTCAGTTAAATTTCTCTTTATCTCTAGTTACCACAAGTACATGTTCGATCTTCTCATTTTTGTTACACTAGATTTTTTTTGTCCAGCTATTTATCGCTAAGAGCCTAAGATGATAATTCTAAGATCCCAAATTGTGATGAACACACATAACAACCAATTTAGCCACTAATTATATCCTTAAAAAAAAAGTTACAACTTCCAAGAACAAGTCCAGGAGAACAAAAGAAAGCCCGGTAGTCCAAAGACAAGAGTAGATATTGGATTTATTTTTAGGCCCAACTAAAAGCACAAGATGGTGTTTTTGGAGATGTTGAGGACAGTAAACGCATTAGAACATGGGACTGCGGCATACTTAGGTTTTAAAGAAGAAACCTACCTCATGGCGCTGATTAGTGAAGTGTCGGGGATTGGCAATTGATTGTCATAAAGAAGATCTAGTGGTTTCTAAAACAATAGCCAAGTCTAGGCGGTTTCTCTAAGGTTGATGGTAATGCTGAAGAACCAGTTGAAAGCGGTCCTTTGCGACTTACCATATCTTGAGTTACCAAATACATACAAAAACAATCAATACGTTAATAGTAATGAAGTAAAGAGCACTGCGCCACTGCCTACCAGTCACAAATTGAGACACCACAACAAATTCAACATTCCCTACCAAATCCAGGAGAGAGAAAATACACAGCACTCAAAAAAACGGAAATACATTAGTTGGACACTCCTGCCAAGCACAAATTAAAGGATTCTACAACTTAGATATCTACTGCCGAATTGTCTTGAGAGATCCAACACAATGCATAAACCGCCAATCCATTAATGGGGGAGAGGGAAACGCCTTCCATCAAATTGGTCTGGGAATTGAGTTTCCACTGTGTCTTCAATGTTTATGTTATCGAACACCTTCCTCCAACCACTAGCTCCAATGTAGTAACCTTAAAAACACCACAAAGTGATACAATCGTCAGCTTGGACATAAACAGGATGACCTGTTGCTAGATACACATCTAGAAAGGAAAAATACAAGGCAACAACAAACAAACATACCACTGGCAAAACCACCAGTTTCACTAGCTCTATAACCAGCCCTGCAAATTGCACACTTGCCAATCTCTATACCTCGCTCAGCAGTCAAATCTGCACGGAAACTACAGAACAGCCCAAAAACATAAATCAGAATTGATCGACTAGGATGACAAGAAAATGTGAAGACATAAAGCTATCACATGAATCATCATAAACTAAAATTCCAAGGAGATAGGGGCATACGAGAAATTCACATTGACAGTAGCTATTTGATAACCAGATCCAGCTGTATACTTCACACCTCTACACAGAGCCCCCTTGCCATCCAAACGGTACACACTACGACTCTACACGACAACATAAAACAATCCCATGAATGAAGCAAGAAATTTTCAACTTGGCACTGTTACAAAGTAAAAGTCTACATAATGGAAAACACATACTTTTTTGTTACGCCCTGCAATTATTGTAGTTAACGACAAACCCTCCTCACCATGAAATGTTACGAGAACTTCCGACACCAACTTCGCTGCGTCTTCAACAGGAATTCCACCGTAGCACTAGCATATTGGAAGCAATTAACAGCCACATAAGCATAATAACACCAACAAATAGTATGCATCGGGAATAAGAACTGTATGGTCGAAAATCACAGGTACATATTTAAATGCCAATCTTCAATTATTATAGCTAAACCCAAGAGCAAAGTATCAAAAGACATGAATGTGAGTACCTTCTTTCGCACATCAAGCAGCAAAGCTCGCCCCTGGTCAATGTCATCCCCAGAAACAGCAGCAAGAATGTGACTATTAAGTGGAATAATGGCCGTGCCAACAGAGCCTCCTAAGTACATAAAAAAACAAGTTGAGTTGGTGATATTGTAATATTTACGAAAATTATGGACAAACAGATGAATTAGAGCACACTCACGTATATGATCAGCAGCTACAATAACCCCTTCTTTGACAAGAAAAGCCAAAATCGTCTTCCCCTTTACTTTCTTCGGGTAGAGAGAAGCCAACTAAAAACACCACCACCCAACAAGACGGAAAAAAAAATAAGTCAAAAACTAAGCCCATGAGTATAACTGGGAAAAAAGGTACCAAATGAAGAAGATAAAACTAACTGGATCCTGGCAGGTATCCTGGTGGGTGACAGGACAAAGATCATCAGGGTCCACAATATCTAAATCAATAGGCACTTGACCAGGTCTACAGAATTCAGCTTTGACCCTCTCCCTCTACACGAAATTCAAATCAAATCCAATCAAAAATAGGGAAAGTAAGCGGAATCAATAATAACCCCAATCGACAGAAACAAAAGAAGAAAAACAAAAGAAAAGAAAACTAACAAGTTGGAGATACTCCGGATCATCAGCTTTGGTCCCTTGCAAATTCCAGAACGGGAAGTCTAGGGAATCACCCTCAACCCAGTGATCAGATGTACGGTATAGAGATGCATTTGTTATCTAAACAAAAATCAATCAAAATAGAAAAAAGTTGATTTTAATGAATATTAAATTCCCAACCAACAAAACAAAAGGAAAGAGGAGAGAAAGAATACTAACCTGTTTATCATCAGCAAGCATATAAGCAGCTTTGCTTGGTGGCTCATCATCATCATCAGCTTTGCTGGGTGCTTTGGTCCTTGGATTGGGAAAGCCAGAGTTGCCACGGAGCCATTTATCAGGTTGAGAGAGATCAATAACCTTTGTGTTCTGCGTCAGTTCAATATTAAGTAAATAAACAAAAAAACACAACATAGATAAGAGTTCCTAACTAACAAAACCAAACCAAATATAAATAAAGAAAGAAAGAAAACTAACGGTTTCATGATGCTTCAACTCTGCAGATCGGTCAACTGGCGGAACATCAACACAAAGACTATTATCATGAAAGGCAGGAAACGCCATTAACACTTCTCTCTCCTATGCAAAGATCAATGCAAAACATAAGAAACAAACATAATTCACAACCAATAACAACAATAATAATAATAAAGCACTAGTGTTTTACTTTGTCTAGATCAAAGTCTAAGAGCTCGCTGGGAGGATTAAATTTACCGATATGAGATTTCCACCAAGGTACTCGCGGATTCCAGGCAGGACTCCTGGGATTGGGCATCGCTGTTTCCTGGTAAAAATAAACACGAAGAAATCAAAACAAAATACCCCAAACCCACGCCGATGGATAAACAATTCTTAACCCAAGCAAACCATCGGGAAATCCCAAACCACAAACAGAAAATAGCAAACTATCGTGCTGCTTTTCTTTTCCTTTTTTAAAAGGAATTTTTTTTTACTATGGCCTTATCTCAAGAAGACAGGAGGAGCTGATCGTTGTGATTATTGAAGGTTGGTTATTCAATCAGAGGGAGGGTTGGACAGCTCCCGTCCGGTCACGACCCCCGGCAGCACTGACGTCGTCAAACGAACAGAATCAAACTAAGTTCGCCGGCCGTAGTGATGATTAAAAATAAGTTTCAATTGAGGGTGAATATGGAAATTTAAAAGGTAAAATGAGTTATACATTGATGAAGTTGACCAAATTGAAACTAAACTATTTTTGTGGGACGGAGGGAGATATGATCTTCGGTCAGACCTTTATTCACTTTAGCGCCTATTGTGCATTCGTGCACATATTTATAACTGATGCTTGTGTGTTTATAAATTAAGAAAATATTCCAAAATTATTAAACAGGTCAAAATTTTTGGGATATCACAGTAAACCTAAATTAGATAGAAATGTGTTAATCTTTAACTAGATTGTGATGATATCTTTGATAAAATTTAGGGTTATTGTTATCACATGAAGAAAGGTATGAAAATCGGATAAGCATTAAAAAAAAAAAAAAATCCTCTTATAACCATCTCTTATAAAAATTCAGTTTCTTAAAATAAAACTTTCAATTGAGTCGAAACTAGAAGATGAACGCATCCATCCGGTGGCAACTGAGGGATCTTCTCTGAAGATGGTTAGTAGCCCTAATCTAAATCTGAGTGATACTCGAACTGATGTGTGAGAATAATTATATATTCGTAACGCATCATTTTGCTACTTCACAGATCTGTTTACATATTACAAATGCAATATGATGATAAAGATAGAATTACATAATACATTTGCCGAACAGAGTGAAACCAAAAGATGGACATAATCAACCGAAATAATTTGTCCACAGTCAATGTTATGACCTTATCAAATCTATTTGATTATAAACAATTGTCCCTGTCTAATAATCACCAAACTACACTTCATCAGCAGTACCGTTTCCATCTTCAGTTTCCATTGTCTAATCTCTAACAACAAAATGGGATTCAAACCATTACAGACAATTCCAACCCTATCTTCCAAATGAGGGAACTGCATAAATTATAGGCAAACTTCTTCACCGTAACCAACATTTCAACATACTTTGGAACAGTTGCAAACACCTGTTAACCACATACTCCCTTCGTTCCATAATTATTGTCTAGTTTGAGTTTTTATTTATAGTTCAAATTGTACTAAAAATAAAATCTCAAACTGGACAATAATTTTGGGACAGAAGAAGTATAATATTTCATGTTAGTAAATGTTTAAAAGTAAGTAATAGTAATATGTAATACAGTTCTAAATAATACAAAGCACCTAAGAACTGACATGTATCAATTTATATTAGCTTAGAAATTATTTACTTACTAGGTTGTTTTTTGTCGCGCGTAGCGCGACCAATTTTTATCTACACTGTATTTATATTATAATTTTTTGGTTTGGAAATGATAGAACATGTAACTGTTGATCTTTGTAATGACTTATAAATTGTCATGTGGAAATTTAAAATTAATTTTTTGTTGATCTTCATAATAACTAATAAATTGTCATGAGGAAATTTAAAATAAATTGTTTGAAACTAAGGTAATGATATTTAGCATATAGCATTTTCGAAATTCGAGGCCAGCCAAACGTAAGAAATGTTGAATGTAATTTGTTGACATTATAATGACGTAATAACGAAACATGTTATTTTTTTTATTACATAATTAATAACTTTTCCAATTATTATGAAAACCGAGATGAACAAAAAGCGTCACGGTGAGTCAACTTCAAGCTCGGGAGCTTCAAGGGCAGGGACATCTATTTCAACTTTTCCAGACCTTATGAGTGAAATGCTTTTATTTCTAAAAATATGGCAAGAAAAGGGAGCTTGCTTCGCTACCAACCATTTTGTCAGTTCAACTATTTCACAATCCACTACAGATTTCTTCTTCAGTCAGTCTTTTCTAAAAAGCCTTTATGAAACAAGAAATCTAAAATTTTAACCGACAGGACACATATTTCAGAGAATAAACTTTTTACATATGACTCCCTACTGACATTTTCTTGTAGGAAGAGAACCTCAAGTTTTGCTAATAAGTTTGAAGAATAGGATCATAGATGTCCAGGAGAGGAGTGAAAAAACTGTAGCCAATTTTTCACTCTAGGACAAGCCAAATTCTATAAAGCTAAAAGCCCTTTACACGTAAGGGAGTGCACTACAAAATCTACTCTCAAATAATTTACAAATATTTCCATCTTTCACATATCAGAAATAAAATGTACCATGAGTAAAACGGAAAAAATGTCGTTCCTACCCAAAGCTTTGCCCTCGTTGTCAATCATATCTAATAAATTTTCGGTCAGTCAACTTTACCCTAATGTTTGAAATTTTCGCCAATTTTGTCCAATCGGCCTATTTTCCGTCCAAATTAACGGATCTCCGTTAGATTTTTAATAAAATAATGAATTTAAATACAAAAACACCCCAGTAGTTTGTAAAAATTTTAAAGTAACCCCTAAAATATATAAAAATAACAAAATAGTCCCTTTTCACTTTTTTATTTCATTTTCTCTATTTTGTTCCATTTCTCTCAACTAATTTTAATGACCATAAAAATATATTATATCAGTTTTTAAAAAAATATTTATTTATTTCTAAAATCTACTGTAAAAGTTAATCTTTGTATAGTTGTAACCCGTGATTGTATTTCTATAAGCATGTTAATTTTTTTAATAATATAGTTTAACAATAAAGATACTATTTTTTTTATTTATTTTGTTCTTCCTAACGTAAAGATTAAAAACATTTAAAAGAAAAAATATTCCACATAAAAATAAAATATTAGCTAAAATAAAAATTAATATATCAGTATAGTTTGGTGTATTACAATTTAACTAGAGAGACTAAATGGCATAATATAATTTATCAAAAATATGTTTATACTTATCAATGCGAGGATTTAATATTTTGTAATAATTATTTGAGATGTTAATATATTTAACTAAGAGGAAGTCTTACTAGCTTATTCTATATGATTTTAGTTTAAAATAAATGAATGGAGGTAAAAATATGATAATAAGATGTTGTGATAGAAAATAGGTTTTAGATTCAAGAAGGAAAACTTATGTATGGAGGATTTGTTTTAAGATTTTAATTATTTTATATTTTAGTTATTTTATTATGAATTATATTAATGCAAGTTATAGTCTCTTGAGTTAAATTTTAATACACTAAAATATCTTAATATTTTTTTATTTGAGCTATATTTTATTTTTATGTGGAATATTAGTTTCATTTAGATGTTTTTAATCTTTATGTTAGGAAGAATAAAATAAATCAGAAAAATAGTGTCTTAATTATTTTATATTTTATTTATTTTTTTATGAAGTATATTAATGCAAGTTATAGTCTCTTGAGTTAAATTTTATTATACTAAAATATATTAATATTTTTTATTTGAGCTATTATTTTATTATGTGAAATATTAGTGTCATTTAAATGTTTTTAATCTTTACGTTAGGAAAAATAAAATAAATCAGAAAAATAGTGTCTTTATTGCTAAAATATATTATTAAAAAAATTAACATGCTTATAGAAATACAATCATGGGTTACAACAATACAAAGATTAATTTTTACGGTAGAGTTTGAAAATAAATAAATATTTTTTAAAAAAAACTCATATAATATAATTTTTATGGTCATTAAAAGTAATTGAGAGAAATGGAACAAAATAGAGAAAATGAAATAAAAAAGTGAAAAGGGACAATTTTGTTATTTTTATATATTTTAGGGATTATTTTTAAAATTTATACAAACTACTGGGGTGTTTTTGTAATTAAATTTATTATTTTATTAAAAAACTAACGGAGATCCGTTAATTTGGATGGAAAATGGGCCAATTGGATGAAATTGGCGAAAATTTCAAACATTAGGGTAAAGTTGACTAACCGAAAATCTATTGGGTATGATTGACGACGAGAGCAAAGCTTTGGGTAGGAACGACATTTTTTCCTGAGTAAAACTAAAGAGCCAATAAAAACTGCAACAGTAAGATACAAAGCATTAAAATTTAATTTCATTCAAATGTCAGATGCTGAATTAATAAGCGTTCATCTACCCCATTGGCAGATCACCAAAGAAAGGATCACAAATGCCGGCCCAAGGTTGAAAACTTACCTAGTGTGTAGAAGCATTAACCCAACAGCAGGGATAAACCATATAACTCACCTTCTACATAGCCGAGAAATTCCAAATCATTTAGAAGTTCCATCTTGTGAACCACTGCAATTTAAATCATATTACATCAGAAAACTAAGCATTTAACCCAAATCGGTTAGTATAAGAAAAGACAAAATTCAAAGATCAATTGTTAGATTGCAGCTGTTGAAACATGATCCCTAAGAGCAGAGCAGTGACTGCAGTCATTGCTCGTTACTCACATTAAGGTAAGTTCATAGAGAAAACTATCATTTAATCTAAAAGGAATTGTACAGTATATGCATGTAACAATGTAACATGAGTGTTTGATGCTCTTCCAGTGAAATAAAAGGGATAGAGGGTCCAGCATTCAACATAAGTTTATGAAACTCATACAAAAGAGTAAAAGCAAAGCCCAAAACATACAACAATGTGGTACCTATTAAACAAAAGCCTTTACCTTTACTTTGAGAGTCACAAAACATAGAGATCCTTAAAATACCCAAATCTTCATATTTCTCTGGACAACGCAACCAGGCAAGCTTTAGAGGTCTACAGAAAAGCTAGAATGAAGAAAATGTATCCCCGTGGTCACCTTCTGCATTCTCACCCTCTTCATTCTCACCCTCTTCCAAGTTGTTGAAGCTCAAGAAATGTGTTGGCCAATGTTCTTCAAGATAGTACTCCTTTGGATTCCCCAGCTTCACCCCATATTGCATGCTCGCACTATCCTTTACACCCAGAAAGTTATAATTCCATGGACCATTATCTAGAATCATGGAAAAACCAAGGAAAAGATCACTCAAAAGCATTTGAAATCTCTGCGCGTAAGTGCAACACTCAAGTTGAGACAATTATTTTTATTCATATACAAATGAGGGTTATCACAATTATTTAGCTTAACAATAAAACTCAGTGACCTGGGGAGATGCGAAAACTTCCGTATCTGATTTTGAGAAGCGTTTTGACAAAGCACATACAACTATTTAGCATGAGAATCCTTCTAACCAGGAAAGAGTAAATCTCCAAACTACAACTCAGTTACAGATTAGCTATGAAAAATAATCTGTTGAACTCTGAACTGTCAAGTCTGAAAATTCCACTTCGGCACAAAATCAGTTTTAACTGTCAACTTTGGACACAATTTTAGAAAATCTACAACTCTGTTTTACGAATCGAAAAAAACCGACATAC